GGCTTCTTTCAGTGATTCTTTCTACCAAGGTCTTCCTGAAGGACAAGTCATCTTAATGTTGCAGAGGACTATGTAAATGGTAGGCTCATTACAAAGCTTTGCATTTCTTTTGAAAAATAATTTTATTTGGAACTGATTTTTGTGTCTAAGAATTCTAAGACTTTGTTGTTCTTTTTTATTCATAATGAATCTACTCCGTTTCTTAACACTTATTTTCTAAAAAACTAGTGAATGTTATTTACAAAAAGAGGCTAACAAGTGGGCTTAATAGCCCTAAAAGCTTTTATTAGTTTAATCTGCAGCCTTGATTCTGACAAACATAGCCAAAATTATGTCCAAAAGACTAGTTTTTAAGTCTAAAATTGTTCTGGTTTCACAGAAAACTACCTGGAGAGGATTTCTGTTACTAACAGCAGCTTGCATATAAAAAAGTTGTTAACTTGAAAAGATTATTCTAAGAAGAATTAGTAGGTAAGAAAAAAGACATATCAAGTTCTTACAGGTTTTACAACTTTGAAAGTAAAATAAATAGGTTTTTAAAATACTTTTATACAGCTTTACAAATAGCTCAAAATATAGATTAGAGGAATGTAGCCTAATGCTTCCACTCTAGTTGATATGAAATTTCATCAATGTCTGATATCATGTAACCACACAAGATTTATAAAATTTTCAATTAAAAAAAAAGATTTTCTGCATCTTTTGACGTGCTGTATCTTTTTTCTCACACTTCTAAAGCCATATGTTGTTCATCCCTCTGTCTCTTTCCCATACATTTCAAATCTCTGTCAAGTTTGCCTTAGAACATTTTAACTGATTGATCAGAGGAAAAAAAGAAGTGAAAACATTTATGGAAATTACCATTGTCACCTGCTATTAACTGTAGATGTAGATGTAAAAGGGAATTGTTAATTTAAAAAAAAAATAGAATATAATCCTATCTGTTGTCTCTTCTCTGTTCCTCATTCTATTCAGATGTTACCTGACAAGTTTTTTTGAGGGAAAGAACATTATATAAATGGAGGGACGATATTCAGATTTCCAACTCTTTCAGTTGCACCAAACATGCCTAAACATATAGATATGCACATGTTAATTTTTCCCCTTTGCTCAAGAAAATTGATTAATAAAGGATGGAATAGCTGCAGTATATTTTGATAGAAATCACAAGTGATTTTTCTGGAAAAATCCATTGACTTCACAACACAGTCCCTTAATCCAATTTGAAAAATACCCTTTTTCTTCCGTTTTCTTCACTTTTTAATCCCGTACTTTCTCTGGAAAGGAAAGAAACATGCTATAAGAATGGGCCATGGGCAACTAAAGCTGCCTGTGCTGAATAATATATATTTGTGGAAAAGTATGATACTTCATCCTTCCTTGTGAATGGGAAAACAGTGGGGGGGCTGTTCCTTTTGACAGGGATAAGTTTCATTCTCATATTCAGAAATGTGGAAACCACAATACAAATCTCAGTAGGTTACAGATCTCAGAGGTATCTAATGCATCAGGTCACTGAAAGGATGAAATGAGAAGGATGGTCTGCTGTTCTCATTAGAAGCAAAGCATGTTATACAACAATAAATTCTTCAACCCAATCCCAACTTTCCATGCATTCCTTTTCCTCCACTCTGCTAATAATTACATATATTCTAGGCCAGTGGTGTCAAACTGCCGGCCCACCGGCCGGATGTGTCATAGCGAAACCGCGCCCACCCCATTGCCAGCAATGGAAAAAAAGTTGTGATACGTCATGACACATCACATGACGTTGCGAGTTTGACACCCCTGTTCTAGGCCTTCAGGTACCAATATACTTACTTTTTTCTTAAAGCACATATTTTTTCCCAGTTAACCTGCCATTTTATTCATTAAAAAATTGTCTTTAGAAGTGCAACTATTATTAAACTTTCTCTTGAATTTCTTTTATTAATTTAATAGTTATATAAAATGTTTTAAGATTAAAATGACAAGGTAGATTATATTATTAATCATGCATATGTAGCGCTACCTCCTCAGAGGCCACCAATGCCCAGGCCCTCCCGGCCACGTCCCCCCTTGTCCAGCCTTGCAACAATGTTCTTTAGAGATCGATGAGATGTCTTACATCCGGAACTCACGCAGCATTAATGGGTGGCAGGCTCTTCTTGTTGAAGCAGGACTTTCAGGCACGAACTTAACCAGTCACAGTGGTTGATACTCTGAAGATGTATATAACAGCTCAGGGTTGCTTTAGCAGCAGGAGTAACAGGCCCCTGAGCAATCGTTCAGAATCCGATGAAATGGGGGGGGGGGGNGGGGGGGGGGGGTAAACCCCGGCTCCAGATGGTAATAATAACAACGACGGCCAGTATGTTATGGCAATGGCTCATCCCCCAGGGCAACTCCCCCCCCCAATGTCCCAGCACCTATGCCAGCAGCGATGGCCACGGTCCAGATGCCTCCAAAGTCCACAACAACAGTTGGCAGCAACAGTTGGCACCACCAGTCTCTCTCCTCCTGGTGCTTCTTCTCTAGGATTCTTCTTCAGGTTTCAGGATTCAAAAGCCACCCCCCTCCGTTACTCTTTATTATTAAAATCCGAGGCTAGAAACCCCAGCCAACTCCCTTACTTCACACTCTCGCTTGCCTCCGTTTCAGATATCCTCCCACGGAGGAGGCAATAAAACTTCACTCTATCTAGCCTCTATTTAAAATACCCTTGATAGAAAAATAAAGTAAGCTTCCAGACCTTCTCTTCTCAACTGCAATCCCCCCTCCCAGCCTTCTCCTTTTCTTCCCTTTTCTATCCTTCCTCCTTCCACTCACGCCAGCCACACCCAAGCCAACTGCAGCTGTCCCCATCTTCCCCTTCCCAGTCAAGCTCCTGCAAGCACTCTCGGGCAGTCCCCGCTACACATACAATTCATGATGATAGTATTATACTGTACTTTTTTAACCTAGTGAAGTAAATGTCTAAAGAGCAATTGTGACTATTTAAGCACAGACCAACTATTTTTAATTTTCTCATGATATGTTCTGAAATGGTACTAATAAATAATTCCTAACAGATTTTTATATCAGTGAGAGATGAATGAAATATAATACAAGTTAATTACTTAGTATCCTTAGTTTTGCTTAATCATAAAGTTATATATTTAACCATTTTTCTTATGTATTCAGGAGGATATCACATTTTGTGTTATTCATCTAATAGAGAAATTAAAAAAACACCTAGGATACTATGCTGTATATTAGACATCTATGGATTTATACAGCAGATGATTCAATGAATATTTCAAAAGACATCATGGCTGTGTTTATCCAGAAAACCTTGTTTATTTAAAGCACCGTTTATTTAAAGCCTCCTCTTTGTAATTGTAAGCAGAGACTGTTTAGCAGAGAACAGGGATACATTTGCTTGGCCTGAATTTCATTGCAAATTTGACAACTTTGCCTATTCCAATGTATGCATGGATCAGAAACTGTTCATGTGACAAAATCTGTACCGTATTTTCTGAAAATTGCATAATAGTTCACCAATTTATAGAATAAAATTGTATGAAGAAATGGGAATATAAAAATGTTAGGAAAAAAGACATATATTGGGGAAATAGTGCACCCAAAAATATGCAGAAAAGAACCCCCATTGTTCAACATATTGCTTTATTCTGCACCAACAGTTTCATCTCACTTACTCTATTCTCCCTTCAATTTAGCAGGTAATATTTCACTGCAAACAGTTATTCATGTTCTTAGACCATGAAGAGAGGGCAGAAATATTTCTTGTTCCTTGATCATCAGGGTAAGCATCTATCTTTCAGCACAATTAGTTGCCTAATTGAGCAGTTGTATTTCATAACATACATTTTGTAATGCCATTAGTAATTTTTGCAGCAGAAATCTTTGGCATGCAGCAGTTTGGAAAGTGGGCTGGAAATTATATTGGTAAAAATATAAGATCAAGATTTTTAAGTTAGTTATTGGTCTCAGTTTAATTCATAAAGGTTTCATTTTAAAATAAAATTTCACAAAAATGTAATTATGGTTGCTTAACAATAATGTAAATCGTCTAAGTGATTGCTTCATTTAAGATGGGGTTATAAAGGGAAAAATACACAATTTGGTGTCTGTAGAATATTGCCAAAATAAATAAGCTCACAATTTTTAAGAGTAACAGGGTCCCTCCATCTCTTTCACACCAGATGGTCCTGTAATAAAACACAATCCATTACTAGAAGACAGTTTTTGATGGGATGCATACAGTTCACAGGGTTCCTGTTAGAACTGTGGAAATTCTTCTCAAAAATGCCTTGGAACATCTGTCAAAACACATATGCATGCAGAGAGCTAGGATCAGTTTTCAAAGCAACTTTTAGTACAGGTGTTCTCGACTTACAACCATTTATTTAGTGGCCATTCAAAATTACAATGGCACTGAAAAAAGTAACCTATGGCTAGTCCTAGAAGTTACTGCATGACATGTAATCAAAATTCAGATGTTTGGCAACTGGCAGGTATTATGACAGTAGCAACATCCCGGATCATGCAATCACCATTTGCAACCTTCTCAGTTGTTTTTTGACAAGCAAAGTCAATAGAGGAAGCTAGATTCACTTAGTGACTGTTGTTTCATTTAACAACACCAGTGATTTGCTTAACAACCATGGCAAAACCGATTGTGAAATTACATAACACATTGCTTAGCAATGGAAATTCTAGTCCCAATTGTGATCGTAAGTCAAGGACTACCTGTAAAACAAAATGAAACAAAACAGCCACCTCTTTAGAGGATATCGCACAACCATAATTCTTTCAAAAAAATGACTGACCCAGTGGCAACTATTGCTAGTCCTAGCTTTTCTTCCAAAAATATAATCTAGCTCAGCAAATATTGTTTTCAGCTTGGAAATTTTCTATCAGATCTCTTTCTAGGCTCCCTGTGATCCAGATATTAGAACTTCTACATTTCCACCGTTAACCAGAGAGATATGCTAAGAGTGCCTCTGAATGTAGACAGAATGTCTTTTACTTTCCACCAGGTGAGTGTAAACCTTACCTTTTCTCTGCCACCTCCCTTTGTCTCTTTCTTTTTCTCTCTCATAAACAAATGCATACACATGGAGGCCAAGATGAGTAAAAAAAAGCCTATAGGATATCTAATATCATGCCATATTTTAGCACCTCTTTAAAAAAAAGAATAAAATAATATATAATGTTTATCAAAGGAACCAAGCACAAAGGCACTTCAGCATTCTAAATGCTCAGGTCTTCCATACGACTGAACACTGGCAAATATAGTTTTTACACTGCCTTTCTTACTTATCAATTCTGCTGCCCTTTTGAAGCCCGGATTGATTGTTCACTAAATCTCTCTTTCCTCATTGGTTCTTCTTGGGTAAACTCCACCTTCAGCAAATAAGGGGCTCCTGTACTCTTAAAACAATCTACTTTACAATGCTACATCAGATTATAGAAGAATGCTTGGAAAGACAACAAAAGTCCTTATGTTGATTATACAGAGGGACATCCTTACTGTGCTCCACTTGATTAATACCAGGAAAAAGAGTAATTAAAGATGTTGAAAGCCAATGTTCTCTTATCCAATCCTAAATATTGGGTGCTAAGAAGACTGCATTTGGATAGAACAATAAAAATTGTTTCTATCCTGCCCTCCATATACAATGAACTACATATAATACATTTATTCTTAATCAAGATTGCCTTGGAAATTTTAGTCTAATATGCTGTCTGAATCTCACAAATAGAATTACTTATCTGTCTGCAAATAGTAACAGACACAATAGGCTTATCCCTTGGGCTCTTATAAATTCAGTCCAAGTATCACAGTTATCTAGAAAGATTTACCTTGACATTACCAACAGATGCTATACATAGAGGCACCCAAGAGAATCCCAAGACTTACTCAGGTTTCCAGCACATGTCTTAGGCAGGAATCTAGAAGACCATTCTCAGGGTAATACTGTACAAACAACCTTCCTGAGTCCCAGCTGCTCACTAGCCTTTGACTCTATGGAAGACCATGGGCTTTCATAAGTTGTATGTCACTTCATCAAGTGACTCCTAAGTAGCCCCACCAAGTTTGCTCCTTAATGTAGCCAAGCCTCCTATACATCACTGTTGTGTTTTCTTCCTCTTCAGCTGATGTTTTTCAGCTGCTGAAAGGGAAAGAGAGAAGACTGGTCTGGACCAATATCTTCTACATCCAGGGCCAGGAGAAGGATTAGATTCTGACTTGATATCAATGCCAGATATAATAAAGTCTTTTTTGGGGGTATTGTATTGCTTTTGGGAAGATTTCTCCTGCTCCTGTTCCTCAATTATGAAAGATCTGTAGAGCAAACATCAAGTACATGCTGCACCCATTGGTTGTCCATCCTTGATCAAAGCAATATTCTTTTCCCCATCCCAGGCTGCAGAAAACTGGATTAAAAAGTGGAGAGAATTTTAGATGAAGATCTTCTAAAGCAATGTTTCATACAAAATGGCATTTGCTCTAGATACTGTATCTGGTAGCAATAAAGGAATTCAAATAATATCATGCCAATAATTTCTTCAACATACTTGAATCATCAAAAAAGTCCCTGTTGGCTCATTTGCTGACCTAACTGCAAATTTGGGCATACTACTTGATAGTTATCAAAAGCCCTGTATTTTCTGATTTTAAAAAATATTTTTTTAAAAACAATATTTATTTATATTTCACACTTCTTCCTCATGGCCAGCATATCTCTGGGGGAAAGAAGGAAAGGGAAAGGGAAAGAGAGAGGGAAATGAAAGGAAAGGGCAAAGGGGAAAGGAAAGAAGGGGAGGAGAGAAGAGGAGAGGAAAGGAGCAGATAGATTTGTGTTGCCTACTAGAGAACAGAGGGAGGGAGGGAAGGAAGGAAGGAAGGAAGGAAGGAGCAAGCTTTGGATAACACTGATGAACTTAAAAAGCCACAGACAGAGATCTGTGGAATAGGGTAACAAACAGTGCAATCTGGGGATCCAGTGGTAGAAAGGAAGACAGATTTCTGGGGTGTATTTGTGGTGTAATAAGGGCAAGGGAAGAAAAGCCTGAGGAAGGAGAAGTCCAGAACATACATTCCTGATAGAGCTTAAAGCACCTCTTCTCAATGTAAAATTATTTAAGAATGTTCATTGTTCAATTGTTTAAGTAAATTCTTTTATATTTAGCTGGCGTGATGTTGCTTTTCTTTCTTTTCTCTCTAGACTATTCATCTCTGGCTCGCAAGCCGACTGATTTTCTTTGTTGTATCACTGGCTTTGAAAGAGATTATAGTAATGCCATTTTATAAAACTTTGCCTTGTGATGTGAATTATGTAAGTGATACTTCCAAAATGTATATGCAAGTTGACTGCAGTGACCGTAAACTCATACAGTTTCCAAAAGACATTCCTACCAATGTTACCAATCTGACACTTGCTGTTAATCATATTCCAAAGATTTCAAAAAGCCACTTTAAGGACTTAAAAAAGCTTCTAGAAATTGATTTCAAATGCAACTGTGTACCAGTCAGGTTGGGACCTAAAGATCACGTTTGCACCCAGGGTCTGAAAATCCAAGCTCACGCTTTCTCCAAACTCTCCAGCTTAAAATCACTCTATTTAGATGGCAACCAGCTCTCAGCAATCCCTCAACATCTCCCACCTAACCTACGTCTTCTGAGTCTTGAAGCTAATTCCATTTTTTCTATCAAGAAAGAAAATTTGTCAGGACTTCAAAGCCTAGAAGTACTCTATCTAGGGCAGAATTGTTATTACCGCAACCCCTGCAATATATCTTTTGAAATTAATGAAGCAGCCTTTCAGCCTCTCACAAGTTTAAAAGTGTTGTCTTTGAAAGCCAACAATTTATCAAGGGTCCCACAAAACCTACCATCAAACTTAAAAGAACTCTATCTTTACAATAACGCAATTCGAACTATCACTGAGCATGATTTGTCCTCTCTGAATAATTTGGAAGTACTTGATTTAAGTGGAAACTGTCCTCGTTGTCACAATGCACGATATCATTGTGTTGAGTGCCCAGGACAGGCAAGCATTTTTATCAATCCCAGAGCCTTTGACTCATTAAATCATTTAAAGGTACTGAAGCTGCACAGCACCTCCCTTCAACGAGTGGACTACCATTGGTTTATAAATACTAGGAACCTTCAAGTACTTGATCTTTCACAAAATTATTTGGCTGAAGAAATTCAGCAAGCCCATTTTCTACAGTTTCTTCCTAATCTTGTGGAACTTGACTTATCTTTCAATTATGAACTGGGATCATACCCATTACATTTTATTCTCCCTGAAACATTTTCCACCCTTTCCAATCTTCAGTCCTTAAGAATAAGAGGATTTATTTTCAAAGAACTAAATCAACAGACTATACACAATTTAATTCCTCTTAAAAAACTTAATGTCTTAGATTTCGGAACTAATTTTATCAGGAATGTTGACATTGCTATGTTTAAAGAATTCCAGAGTCTTAGAACAATAATTCTTTCTTTTAATAAAATATCTCTTTTTTCATATGAGCCAAATAGCAGGCTTTACTCTGTTCTCAACTCATCAGATGATCAGTATAATGGCAATGTATTGATAGATACACAGTATTTCAGATATGATGAATATGGTCAAAGTTGCAGATCTAAAGATACAGAGGATATTCATTTTTTGCCTTTTATCAATGAGATTGCATGCAGCAACTATGGAAAAACACTTGATTTAAGCAGAAACAATATTTTTTTTATCAATTCTTCTGATTTCCAGCAACTTTCAGACCTTAAATGCCTTAACATCTCCAATAATGCTATGAGCCAAGCTTTGAAGGGAACTGAATTTGCTCATCTGTCCAGTTTGAAATGTTTGGATTTATCTAATAATCGGATTGATTTGCTACATGTGAATGCTTTTCAACAGCTGAAAGAACTGGAAGTTCTAAACCTTAGTGATAATAGCTATTATTTTAAGGCGGAAGGTGTCACACTTATGTTGGGCTTTACCAAATGCCTGGTTAATCTGAAAATACTGATTATGAATGGCAATGAGATTTCTGTATCCACTGATAAAGGGATGGCAAGTGATTCCATCAAAACATTAGAATTTAGACGGAATCGCTTAGATATTTTATGGAAGGATGGAACTAATGAATACTTGGCATTCTTCAAGAATTTGACAGCCCTGGAAAGTCTTGACATTTCTGAAAACTTTCTGACTTTGTTACCTCATGATGTATTCTACAATCTGCCTCCAAAACTGAAAGTGTTAAAGCTGGCCAGTAATCTATTGAAGACTTTTAACTGGGGGTGTCTTCCAGCACTAAAGAATTTGGAAGTCTTAGATCTTAGCAACAATCAGCTGACTACAGTCCCCCATGAACTGTCCAACTGTACTAAGACTCTTCAGACATTCATAGTGCAAAACAACAAGATCAGAAAGCTGACAGATAATTTTCTCAAAGATGCTTTCTTCCTGAGGCATTTAGATCTTAGTTTTAATAAGATCAAAACAATCAGGAACTCTAGCTTCCCCAAAAATGTTATTAGCAAACTAACAACATTACTCTTAAACGATAATTCTTTCAAATGTAATTGTGATATTGTGTGGCTTGTCCACTGGATCAATGACACAAAAGTAAAAATCCCTTTCCTAGCAACACATGTGACTTGTGCAGGGCCAAGTGTATGGAAAGCTAAAAGTTTGATTTTATTAGATTTGCATACGTGTGAATCAGATTTCTCTCAGATCCTCTATTTATTGTCAGCTTCATTTATCATATTTCTCATGATAGTTCCAGTTATAAGCCACCTATATTTTTGGGATGTCTGGTATATTTATCATTTCTGCACTGCCAAATTAAAGGGATATAAACGTCTCTTTTCATCTGAAGTTAAATATGATGCTTTTGTGGCTTACGATAATAAAGATGCATCTGTAACAGAATGGATCCTGAAAGAACTAATTGAGAAACTCGAAGATCAGAAAGAAAAAAAATTCAATATATGTTTAGAAGAAAGAGACTGGCTACCAGGTCACCCATTTATAGAAAACCTTAATGACAGCATACAAATGAGTAGAAAAACAATATTTGTGCTGACAAACAGCTATATTGCAAGTGGCAACTTCAGAACAGCCTTTTATATGGCACATCAGCGTCTTGTGGATGAAAAAGTAGATGTAATTATCCTGATAATTCTTGAGAAGCTTCTGCAAATGTCAAAGTGTCTCCGTCTCCGGAAGACCTTGTGTAGTAGATCTTGTCTTGAATGGCCAACCAATCCTCAGTCTCAGGCTTATTTCTGGCATTGTCTTAGAAACTCCCTAGCAGTAAATAATGAGTTTAGGTATAACAAGCTTTTCAAGGAAATGGTATAATGCTCAGTTGCATTCTCAGAAAATGTTTTGGAAATCATAGCAGATGCATGGGATGAGGCTGAATCTCAAACTCTACATTGAGAAGGTTTTAAAGCATCAGTAAAATCAAACAAAAGCACCTCATCAACCACAACATGCTCCTTCTGAAGCAGGGAAACTTTTGGTTATCTGAGGAAAGGTGCCCAGGAAGTTTAGTTCAATAGCTCAATTTTCCATTTCATAATTATTGAGATGTAGGAAACCTATGCAGATTTTTATGAATTCCCTCAATCTAAGCAGGAAAAGTGAAACAGATAAAACATTCCAATTACAAATTTTCACAGCAAGAATTTATGAGTTTTCCTATGTAAGCATATTGATTTTCCAAAATTTGATACAATTTAGAAAGAAAAAATAAAAATAAATACAATCTTTAGCATGAACTACAATTATATTTGAAAAACAGATATTTTGAACCAGTTGGCTACTTATTTATATGATGAGGGGAAAAAGCTTTAAATTACCTAGTGATACAATAACAATATGGGAATTGTAACATAATGGGGATATGGAGATCAGTTAAGTCCAATCTAGTTTCTATTTGTACTATTAGGGCAATATCCTATTTCAGAAGTCAAACATGTATCTCAACACTGCTGAGTGTGACACAAGTCAGATTAAAATGCAATTGGAAATAGTTAACAAAATAAAATAAAATAAAATGCAATAAAGCATAAGAAGTTGCATTTTGAAATTAAATAATAATATAGTTAACAACTACCATGAAAGTCTTAGCTCACGACTCAAAAGGAGTTCTGCACAGATTCACTGCCTTGGCTAGTTGCAACAACTAAGATTGCTTGGTGCTGCAATGGTGTGAACTGAGAAGGACCATCAACGATAGGAATTTATCTTCAGTTTGTGCTGCAAAGAACCTTGCTGATGCAATTAAACTGAGGTATCAAGCTTGTGCCTTTTCCCCAGGTCAGCAGGCAGGCAGCCTTGCACTGGTTGCCCTTCTATTCTAGACCTCAGGCTTCCAGACCATGAGTTCTAGTCCAGCCATAGGTCAGCTGGCTAGCCTTGAGGCCAGTCACTTTTTCTCAGCCCAAGGAAGAAGGCAATGGCAAACCACGTCTGAAAAACCTTGCAAAGAAAACTGCAGTAACTTGTCCAGACAGTCTCTGAGAATTGGACATGACTGAATGGAAGGAAAAAGGATGGAATGCATTCAGAAATGGAAAGAAGGGGGGAAATGAAAGAAAATTGGTGATCTAAATGCTTTTTGTATAATGCTTCTTTTTTAAAAAAATTATTTCATTACAGTATCAAATTCCAAAACTGAAGGAATGTAAACACTTACAAAATATTATCAGCAACTAATGGATTTATACTATAATCTGAAAGCATCTATGTGTGAAGCTGGTTTGGTGTAATGGTTAAGGCATCAATTAGAAACCAAGAGGCCTTTAATTCTAGTCCTGCCTTGGGCACAAAGCCAAATGGGTGACCTGGGGCCAGTCACTTCTCTTGTCCCTAGGAGGAACTAGAATCTCCAAGTTAATCAGTCAAAATCAATCAGAACAGAGTTGGTAGGGACCTTGGGGGCCTTCTAGTCCAACCTCCTGCTCAAGCAAGAGACCCTGGATGCAGTATTCCAGGTGTGGTCTTACTAAGGCTTTATAAAATGGTACTAATACTTCACATGATTTTGATTCTATGTGTCAAGAATGAAACTTTGGCAACTACATTTCATCTTGCCTTTAGATTAAGGGAAGGGGAGATGTTGCTTTCAAGTGGGTTAAACAAAACCTCTTCGATTCAGCTGAAGACTGTGAGAGCCTGAACCCTTGTCAAGGATACCAGAGCAGGTGTGGATTTGAAGCTGATGGTTCCCAAAACAAAGTGAACTTGTTAATATGAATTAATGTTGGGGATTTGGCTGGGGAAATTATTGTATAAGTGTATGAATTGGTGTTGGAACCTCAGAATTAGTTTTGCTTTGACAAAACCATGCAGTGTATTCAATAAACAGTAAGATTTTCGGAAACGGAATGAACCTGGACTTTTATTTGGATTCTTGAGCTGGATGTTGACATTAAATTAACTCTCTCTTGCAGCTTACCCAGGTTTTCTTCCCAAGAGTACTGAGACCTGAAATGGGTAAGAGAACAGATGGAGGGGGACAAAGGGGGAGTTTCCCTCCTGCGGTTGTTGGTTTTAACCCAGATGGAGAGGCAGGTTCGTTGATTGGGGCTTGTCTGAAGCAGAAAGCTGGATTGATAGAGCCACCAAATACTGCTGAAAGGAGAGGAGCTCAAGCAACACCACTGGGTGCTGACCTACCATCCGGATATGTACTGGTGCAGGAGGATCAACAGCCTCCTCCTTTAAAGTCATGTTTGAGGCTGACTGGAGAAGTTGGCTTACTTTCTGACCTAGGTGTGGAATTATTTAGAAAGATATGGAGGCAGACACCCTGATGATGGATCACGTGTGAATACTATTTCTGCGAACCTGGAAGGGAATGCAGTGGAGTGGTTGATGTCCTTATATGATGAGGTAGACCCTGAGCTCGATGATGTGGATACCTTCATGCAAGAGCTACAGAATCAGTTTGAAGATCCCACTGAGGCAGATGCGAGAATCAGGATGATCAACCAAGGGAAGCAACTGGTTGCTGAATACATTAGAGAATTTCGTAGTCTGGTGGCTCATGTAAGAGGATGGTCTGAACATATGTTGGTATACCAATTCCAAGATGGACTAAGCAAGAACTGTATTACACCTACCTACCAAGAGGAGTACCCAGTCTCCTCAGGAATTGGTACCAGTTGGCTACCAATGTGGAATTAGATTTGGTAGATTACCGACATCACACCAGTCAAGACAACCAACTTCACTGTGCAGCTGAGAGATGCCCAGCTGGCCGAGGGAGCAAGGGAAATGTTCCAGAGACCAGAAGAGAGAGAACCCTCCTCAGTAGGGGAGCGTTGGTTGTGCTTTGGTTGTGGAAAACAGGGGCCCCGAGCTGCGAATTGCCCTGCACCACACCCAATGTCAACATGTCGAGCTCCAAGCAAGACTAAGACAAAGAAGCCAGTGCCAAAGTCCAAAGAACAAACAAAAGTTGCACAACAGATCATAGAGGTCTCTTCCCCATCCAGCAAGGGGAAAGAAACTCTGATCCCTAGGAAGCCTGGATTTGTTTTCTATGAGAGTGACAGCGAAGGGGAGGATGACCCAATGGTGAATGGTCCTATTTCCCTGATGACTACCAGGGTAGAATTGTTAGTACCCTCTTCGGGAGTAAGGGAGAATTCACTGCACTTCTGGACTTGAGGTGCACAAGGCATGTAATCAGCTCACGAACAGTAGAAAAAGTGGGACTAAGACTCAGAAATTTGAGGCAACCCATGGGGTTTGAACAACTAGATGGGTCTCTTACGGGGGAAGAACATGCAACCTGTCTTACTGAGCCAGTGACTATAATGCTTGGAAATAATATTGAAATCATTTGTTTTATTGTAGCCCCTGGGATGACTGAAAATATGATTTTAGGATTAGCTTGGCTGAAGAAATTGGAATAACAAGTGGCGAATGAGGAAAAGAGTAATTGATCTACAAAAGCTGCAGGAGATTCCGGATACTTGCCCTAAGCCATTGGCTGAGAAATTGAAAGTGTTGACAGTGAATACACTAAAAGCAGACAGGCAGTTAGAGAACAGCATCCCAGCTGAATACAGAGACTTAATTGAAGTATTCAGTGAAAAAGAATCGGGTGTACTCCCACTTCATCGACCAATGGACTGTGCTATACAGATAGTTCCAGGGGCTACGTTTCGTATACCGAAGATGTAAGGAGAAGGGCGGGATATAAATGTAATAAATAAATAAATAAATAAGTATGCTATGACACCTAAAGAAATGGAAGAACTTAGAAGGTTTTTAGATAACCTGACTCGGGGGTTCATTCAACCTACAAAATCGAAAATGGTTGCCCCTATATTATTTAGAGGAAAAAAAGGATGGGGGCCTTAGAATGTGTGTGGATTATAAAAGTCTCAATACTATATCAGTGGAAAAAATGTAGCCCCTCCTCCTTATGAAAGAGGAGGATACCTGTCTAAGGGGAAATGTTTACAAAATTGGACCTGAGGAAAGCTATTATAGAGTAAGGATTAAAGAAGGATATGAGTGGAAAACTGCATTTAATTGTCCTTTAGGGTGTCATCAGTTCAGAGTGATGCCATTTGAGCTGCAAGGGGCACCTGCAGTATTCATGCAATTGATAAATGAGGTGTTACATGGATATCTGTATAAGGGGGTGTTGGTGTATTTAGATGATATTTGAATTTACACCATAGTATAATTCCACATGGCTCTTTAAAGACAATAAAAGTAATAAAAAAATGAAGCAGCCAATTTCATTATTCCATAATAAGAGAGGTGACACCAGCTTAATGGCTACAAGTAAGAAAATTGGTCTCATCACTGGATGATTAATTAGGGATTTTTAAATGCTTTCATTTATCTCTCAAAGTTTAAAAACATGCAGGTATCACATTTTTAAATAAGAGATGGTCATTCATATACCAGTCTATAGGTGGCAGCAAATGATTGTTCCTGAAACTGGATCTCTCATTTAAATTACAATTAAGCATTGTGAATATATTTTGTCTTTCATTTTCTAAATTTAGTGTCTATGTGCTTTTAGTCAAGGCCAAAATATCAAAATTTATTTGGAAATGAGAAGAAATTGGCATGCCAAAATCTGAGGTGATAAGATTTTACATTAGCAGCTTAACTGCTAATAGCTTGGTTATGTAGTTATTTATTTAGAAAATATATATGGCCACCTGTCTTAAGTAACTAACCCTGAACTGTTAACAACAATACAAGAAGAAATAATATAATGAAAATCCCTGTAAACAAAACAAAAACATGGTACAACAACTCACATCACAAGAACACACATTAGGCTCCACTAGCATCTTAGCCCTAACACCTGGGGGGGGGGG